AATAAATTTAGATGAAGTACCTATTAATGAAGTCATCTGTCATCTACAATGGAGTAAATATTACCGAGTATATGGTAGTTGGAGATGTTCAAATTGCAAAAAATTTTGGGAAAGCGCTTATACTTGGATATCACTACAAAAATTCATTCAAAAAGATCGAAATTTGAATTTTGATGATTATTGTATGCAAGAATGTAAAAGGTGCAAAGGAAAAAATAAAGGTGATAAGAGCGTTATCTTATCATATGAACATTTAGACAAAGGGGAAGGCAACATTCATAAAAGGCATTTGTGTGCAAAATGTTTGAGTGGTGAATATTGTGTTGAAACTGGTGACTACTTAGGTAAAAAAAAAAAAAAGAATGATAATTGAAAATTCTAAAGAGCTTTTTTTCACTTTCGTTTAAACTTCTTAAATTTGGTTATTATTATCTAGTACTATAACTGCTCATTCATCTTTTTATAGGTTTTATTTTTTTATTTGTTATACATTTTATCACAATTTATGTATGATGGGGTATTGTTGAAAAGCTAAACATATTGTAATTATATTTTAAATGTTTGCAATGTCTTAATTTGGATAAATCTAACAGTAACAGGCTGTTACGTAAACAGCTTACTTAGTACAACCAATCAGAATACATGTAATAAACTCTAAGGTTAAAATTATTTGCCAACTACAGGCTGTTATATGAAATAGTGCTACGAATATATATATATTTTCTTATAATAAATAATTATATATATAATGATTTGGATGGCTATACATCAACTTGGATATAAAATAAAAAAAGTAATATATATTCTGATTATATCGGTGTCCGTATATAATGGCATCTGGTTATAACGATATTTTTTAAATTTTTAAACGTGTATACTTAATAGAAACCAAATGTGTATAAAAGTCTAATTTATTCAGATCCTATTTCATAGTTCTTACTAAGGTATATTCGTTAACAAGAGCAGTCTTCCTATAAATTTTCGTGCAAACTAAACACACCAAAAATCTTGGATAATCATTCAAACTAAAGTTTTATAATACTGAGTTGTTGACATTCTAACGACGATCCGTAGAATAAATATTACATGTGGTACGTACAAATATAGTTTCTATATACGTACCAATAAATCATGCCGAAGTTACGTACAAACTTAACCAAATCGACCGAAAAATCATGCTGTCAACTTTTATCAGTGTTCCAGGAATTATGCAGTAAAAAACATAATCCGGATTAATCCAGATCATGGACATACTTGTTACCCATATCCAAAACTTTTATTTTTTGGGATTGCCCACGCCCAAACCAAAGGTCAAACTAATATCTCGAAACTTTATTAATAATTTTTACCGTCCAAGCACGAAATAACGCCCACCTGCGCGTTATTTCGAGTACGCGCATGTGCGTTATCTCTAAATATA